GATGGTAAAAGATAGATATTTCATGCAAACAACAAGGAGAAAAAAGCAGGTGTTGCTGTACTAGTATCAGACAAAATAGACTTCAAAACCAAGAAAGTAGCAAGAGATAAAAAAGGACATTACATAATGACAAAGGGCTCAGTCCAACAGGAGGGTATAACCATTATAAATATATATATGCACCCAGCACAGGAGCACCAGCATATGTGATACAAATACTAGCAGAATTAAAGGAGGAAATAGAATGCAATGCATTCATTTTAGGAGACTTCAACACACCACACAGTCCAAAGGATAGATCCACCAGACAAAAAATGAGGACACAGAGGCACTGAACAGTACACTAGAACAGATGGATCTAATAGACATCTATAGAACTCTAAATCCAAAAGCAACAGGATACACATTCTTCTCAAGTGCTCATGGAACATTCTCTAGAATAGACCACATACTAGGCCACAAAAAGAGCCTCAGAAAAATAAAAAAGATTGAAATTCTACCAACCAACTTTTCAGACCACAGAAGTATAAAACTAGAAATAAATTGTACAAAGAAAGCAAAAAGACTCACAAACACATGGAGGCTTAATAACATTCTCCTAAATAGTTTATGGATCAGTGACCAAATTAAAATAGAGATCAAGCAATATATGGAAACAAATGACAAAAACAACACAAAGCCCCAATTTCTGTGGGATGCAGCAAAAGCAGTCTTAAGAGGAAAGTATATAGCAATACAGGCAATATTTATAGAAGCAACAACAATCGCAAGTGAATAATCAAACGTCACAATTATCAAAATTGGAAAAAGAACAAATGAGGCCTAAAGTCAGCAGAAGGGGGAATATAATAAACATCAGAGAAGAAATAAATAAAATTGAGAAGAATAAAACAATAGAAAAAATCAATGAAAACAAGAGCTGGTTCTTTGAGAAAATAAACAAAATAGATAAGCCTCTAGCCAGACTTATAAAGAGAAAAAGAGAATCAACAAACATCAACAGAATCAGAAACGAGAAAGGAAAAATCATGACAGACCCCACAGAAATACAAAGAATCATTAGAGAATACTATGAAAACCTATATGCTAACAGGCTGGAAAACCTAGAAGAATTGGACAACTTCCTAGAAAAATACAATCTTCTAAGACTGACCAAGGAAGAAACAGAAAATCTAAACAAACCAATTACCAGCAAAGAAATTGAATCAGTAATCAAAAAGCTACTGAAGACCAAATCCCCCATGCCAGAGGGATTTACCTTGGAATTTTATCAGACATACAAAGAAGATATAATTCCCATTCTTGTTAAAGCTTTCCAAAAAATAGAAGAGGAGGGAATACTTCCAAACTCCTTCTATAAAGCCAATGTCACCCTAATACCAAAACCAGGCAAAGACCACAGAAAAAGAAAGTTACAGACCAATATCCCTGATGAACGTAGATGCAAAAATACTCAACAAAATATTACCAAACCGAATTCAAAAATACATCAGAAGGATCATAAACCTTGACCAAGTGGGATTCATCCCAGGGATGCAAGGATGGTACAACGTTCGAAAATCCATCAATATCAGCCACCACATAAATAAAAAGAAGGACAAAAGTCGCATGATCATCTCCATAGATGCTGAAAAAGCATTTGAAAAAATTCAACATACATTCAGGATAAAAACTCTCAAAAAAACAGGCATAGAGGGCAAGTGCCTCAACATAATAAAGGCCATATATGAAAAAACCACAGCCAACATCATACTTAACAGCAAGAAGCTGAAAGCTTTTCTTCTGAGATCAGGTACAAGACAGGGATGCCCCCTCCTCCCATTGTTATTCAACATAGTACTGGAGGTCCTAGCCATGGCAATTAAACAAAACAAAGAAATACAAGGAATCCAGATTGGTAAAGAAGTTAACCTGTCACTATTTGCAGATGACATGATATTGTACATAAAAAACCCTAAAGACTCCACTCCGAAACTGCTAGAGCTAATATCTGAATTCAGCAAAGTTGCACAATACAAAATTAATACACAGAAGTTCGTTGCTTTCCTATACACTAATGACAAATTAACAGAAAGAGAAATTAGGAAAACAATTCCATTCAAAATTGCATCAAAAACAATAAAACACCTAGGAGTAAACCTAACCAAGGAAGTGAAAGATCTATACCCTGAAAACTATAAGACACTCTTAAGAGAAATTAAAGGGGACACTAAAAAATGGAAACTTATCCCATGCTCTTGGCTAGGAAGAATTAATATTGTCAAAATGGCCACCCTGCCCAAAGCAATATACAGATTCAATGCAATCCCTATCAAATTACCAACAGCATTCTTCAACGAACTGGAACAAATAGTTCAAAAATTCATATGGAAATACCAAAGACCCCAAATAGCAAAAGCATTGCTGAGAAGGAAGAATAAAGTGGGGGAATCTCGCTCCCCAACTTCAAGCTCTACTACAAAGCCACAGTCATCCAGACAATTTGGTACTGGCACAAGAACAGAGCCACAGACCAATGGAACAGAAATGAGAGTCCAGACATTAACCCAAACATATATGGTCAATTAATATATGATAAAGGAGCCATGGACATACAATTGGGAAAGGACAGTCTCTTCAACAGATGGTGCTGGCAAAACTGGACAGCTACAGGTAAGGGAATGAAACTGGATCACTGTCTAAACCCATACACACAAGTAAATTCAAAATGAATCAAAGACCTGAATGTAAGTCATGAAACCATAAAACTCTTAAAAAAAAACATAGGCAAAAATCTCTTGGACATAAACATGAGCGACCTCTTCATGAACATATCTCCCCAGGCAAGGGAAACANACCTCAACAAACAAAAAGCAAATAATCCAATCAAAAAATGGTCTGAGGAGCTATATAGACAGTCCTCCAAAGAATAAATTCAGATGGCTAACAGAAACATGAAAAGATGCTCCACATCACTAGTCATCAGAGAAATGCAAATTAAAACCACAATGAGATATCACCTCACACCGGTAAGGATCGCCCCCATCCAAAAGACAAACAGCAAGAAATGTTGGCAAGGTTGTGGAGAAAGAGGAATCCTCCTACACTACTGGTGGGAATGTAAATTAGTTCAACCATTGTGGAAAGCAGTATGGAGGTTCCTCAAAAAGCTCAAAATAGAGATACCATTTGATCCAGGAATTCCACTTCTAGGAATTTACCCTAAGAATGCAGTAGCCCAGTTTGAAAAAGGAAGATGCACCCCTATGTTTATTGCAGCACTATTTACAATAGCCAAGAAATGGAAGCAACCTAAGTGTCCATCAGTAGATGAATGGATAAAGAAGATGTGGTACATATACACAATGGAATATTATTCAGCCATAAGAAGAAAATAATCCTACTATCTGCAGCAACATGGACGGAGCTAGAGGGTATTATGTTCAGTGAAATATGCCAGGCGGAGAAAGACAATTACCAAATGGTTTCACTCATATATGTGGTATAAGAACAAAGAAAAACTGAAGGAACAAAACAGCAGCAGAATCACAGACCCCAAGAATGGTCTAACAGTTACCAAAGCTAAAGGGACTGGGGAGGATGGCTGGGAAGGGATGGATAAGGGCAGGGAAGAAGAAAGGGGGCTATTACAATTAGCGTGTATAATGTGGGGGGGGGGCATAGGGAGGGATGTGCAACATAGAAGACAAGTAGTGACTCTATAGCATCTTACTACACTGATGGACAGTGACTGTAGTGGGGTTTGTGGGGGTACTTGGTGAAGGGGAGAGCCTAGTAAACATAATGTTCTTCATGTAATTGTAGATTAATGATAACCAAAAAAAGGCAAAAAGCAATGAGAAAAACATAATAAACAAACAAACAAACAAATAAATAAACAAAAATATCACTTGTAAGGGAGGGGGAGAAGGAAGGCCTGCGTAAAGGTTGCCGCTCCATCCCTTCTCTCCTGCGATCCTTGGGAAAACAAAAAAACAAAAAAAACATAGACTGAATTGGGGGTGGGGGAACTTAAAATTAATCTTAACTGGGTGGTTGGAAAATGATGCCTGGAAGCAAGAAAGGTAACAAAGTTTCAGTGTGTTCATCCAACCATCAAATTTTTAAGTTTCTACTAATTATAAGCTTCTATGTGCTTGTATTAGTATTTAAATTCTGCTGTTGTATGATGCTGAAAGGACATAAAACAGCTTTCATTATTGTAAATTCAACAGTTACTATATTTGCCTAAATAGTCAAAGGGTACAACTTCCAGATAGAAGATGAGTATGTTTTGGGAATCTAATGTACAGCATGGTAACTATACTTAACAGTACTGTACTGGACACTTGAAAATTGCTGAAAGAGTATATCTTAAATGTTCCTACCACACACACAAAAGATGGTAACTATGTGAAGTAATGGGTGTTTTAACTAACTTATTATAATCATTTACAATATATACATTTTCAAATCACCATATTGTACACCTTAAATTATTCAATGTTGTATGTGAATTATATCCCATTAAAGCTGAGAAAAGATATAAAAGGTGGAAGCTGTATATTTTCTTAATGGGATTGACATGTAGAGTGTAACCAAACTCTCAGGCTTGAGATGCCTCAAGAAACAGTTCTCATACATTATGAGTACTTGAATACCTTTCAAATTTGAAAAATATTTTAAGTCATGCCCACAATTTGATGTATATTGGCATAACTGTGATACCAATATAAATCAAAGAAAGGCTGGTATATTGAAGTTTATGATTGTTCATATGACAGTGACCAGGAGCCCTGCAGCTAGTCCATACCTCCTTATGGTTCCACTCCACGTATGAATACTAACCATGACATATCACTTTGATGGAAGGTTAGGTAGTAATCACAGTGAAATATTTAAAATTGTAGGGCAAATTTCAATTTTACTTTATTACAATATATTTCTTGTAGTTGATGTGTCTAAATTTCCATGGGACATTTGCACTCACATATTCTCACTCTCACCCCCTTTTAGATTAGACACACAACACCCTGAAGAAATGGATGTCAGCAGAGCTGAGGAGGAGTTCTGTGCTGTAAACCATGCAGAGAAAACTCTCCATAAAATAGAGAACTACTGGAAAGAGAAAAAACTGTGTGATGTGATACTCATTGCTGGAAACATGCAAATCCCAGCCCATCGGTAAGTATCCGTATGCAGACAAAACATTTGTTGAGTGTAGCCAAGTATGAATAAACAAAAATCAGTCCATTGATTACAAACTGGAACACTAAGGAAAACAAATGTTTATCTTCCTGTATTGAAAAAGCAGTAGCATATTTGCTTCACTGCCCTGTGTGATACTTAGAAGAGTTAGGGAGAAATTGATGAAGGAAAACAGCACAAACCCTCTAAAAGAAAATCAACTCAGTTTACCTTTCTAATTTCATAACACTTTAATGAACTGTGAAAGATTTATGCTGAAAACAGACTTACCAGTGTTACAAACTTACTGTCTGCATTTCATGCTTTTCAGTGAGATTATGGACTAATTTAAGTTCCTATGAAACATTTCTATTTCCAGGTTGGTTCTCATTGCAATGTCCGATTATTTTGCTGTGATGTTCACTCATGATATGCATGAAGCCATTCAAGAAGAGGTCAAGGTGGAAGGAATCGATCCTAATGCACTTAATTCCTTAGTTCAGTATGCTTACACAGGTAAGTGCTTGGTATGTATTAGCTGATTCAGTCCTCAAAATAACCCTGCATTATATAACCCACAGTCCTATTATTCCTACTGTACCTGTGAGAAAACTGAATGATAGACCAGTTTGGTAACTATCCTAAGGGAGTAAGGGGAAGAATCAGGATTTAAACTCTGTAGAATAAAAGAGAAAGAGGTAAATAATACCCAATAAAAACTTTTAACTGTGAGAGAATAGAGCTATTTTAACACACTGATACAAGAATATGTCTCTCTCATGGTGTGGGTACATTCTCATTTGTAAAAATTAGAAGGGAAGTGGAATATACCAATTCTATATTAGATTTTTAGTCAGTCTCTTCCTTGGAAATAATCATATCATATTTACCCAAACTATAAAACAAAGGTACCCAAGATGAGTTGGGGGCCAACAAGTATTTCTTTATTCATTCAATCATGCCATTTTATTGAGGAATATTTGACAAATAAAATTGTACATACTTAAAAGTATAAAATGTAATGATTTGATATGCATATACATTGTGGAACCTTTACCAAAATTTTGAAAATTAATGCATGGCAAATAGTTAACTCTTTTCCATGGTGAGAATGATTAAGCTATACTCTCAAACAACTTTCAAGTATACAATAACCAGTACCATGTTGTTATATGTAGACATCACACTGTACATTATTTTATATATATACATATATATATTTTTTTATTGAGGTATTATTGATACACACTCTTAGGAAGGTTTCACATAAGAAAACAATGTGGTTACTTTATTTAACCGTGTTACCATGTCCTCCCCCATATCCCTTTGGAGTCACTGCCCAACAGTATAGTAAGATGCCACAGAGTCACCATTTGCCTTCTCGTTGCTACACTGTCTTCCCCCTGATCCCTCCCACACCACATGTGCCACACATTATGCCCCTCAATCTCCTTCTCCCTCCTGCCCCACCCATCCTTCCCCACCCCTCTCCTTTGGTAACCGCCAGTCACTTCCTGGAGTCTGTGAGTCTGTCGCTGTTTTGTTCCTTTGGTTTTTCTTCATTTTTATACTCCCCAAATGAGGAAAATCATTTGGTATTTGTCTTTCTCCACTTAGCTTATTTCACTGAGCATAATATCCTCCAGCTCCATCCATGTTGTTGCAAATGGTAAGATTTGTTTCTTTCTCATGGCTGCATAGTATTCCATTGCGTATATTACCACCACTTCTTTATACATTCATCTACTGTTGGACACTTAGGTTACTTCCATATCTTGGCTATTGTAAATAGTGCAGCGATAAACATAGGGGCGCATATGTCATTTTGAATCTGAGAAATTACATTCTTTGGATAAATTCCTAGGAGTGGAATTCCCAGGTCAAATGATATCTCCATTTTTAGGTATTTGAGGAGCTTCCATATTGCTTTACACAATGGATGAACTGGCTTACATTCCCACCAGCAGTGCCGGATGGTGTCCCTTTCTCCACATCCTTGCCAGCATTTGTTGTTCTTAGTCTTTTTAATACTGGCCATCCTAACTGGTGTGAGGTGATATCTCATTGTGATTTTTATTTGCATTTTCCTCATAATTAGTGATATGGAGCATCTTTCCATGTCACGATGTACATCAGATCCTCAGAACTTATTGTCCTTGTAACTGAGTTTGTACCCTTTGACCTATATATTTTTGTTTCCCCTCCCAGCCTCTGGCAACTACCAATCTACTTGTTTCTATAAAATCAGCACTTTTTAAAAGCTTCCACATACAAGTGATATCATACATTATTTGTCCAAATATTTCTGGCTTATTTTACTTAGCATAATGTTCTCCAGGTTTATCCATGTAGCCACAAATGCTAGGATTTCTATCTTTCTCATGACCGAATAATATTCTATGGTGTATGTACACATACACACATATATATATACACATATATACACACCACAGTTTCTTTATCCATTCATCTGTCAAAGGACATTTAGCTTCCATATCTTGGCTATGGTGAGTAACACGGGAATAAACACAGAGTACAAATATCTCTTGAAGATTCTGATTTCATTTCCTTTGCATATATACCCAGGAGTGGGATTGCTAGATCATGTGTTAGTTCTATTTTTTAAAATTTATTCAGGAACTTCCATACTGTGTCCTATAATGGTTGTGCCACTTTACATTCTCACCAACTGTACAAGGGTTCCCTTTTCTCCAAAGCTTCACCAACATTGGTTATCTCTTGTCTTTTTGATAATAGCCATCGTAACAGGTGTGAGAGGATATCTCATGGGTTTGATTTGCATTTCCCTGATGATTAGTGATGCCCTGTACCTTTTCATGTACCTACTGGATCATTTGTATGTCTTCTTTGGAAAATGTCCATTCAGTTTCTTTGTCCTTTTTTTATTCAAATATTTTCTTTTCTGTTATTGAGTTGTATTAGTCCTTAATACATTTTGAATATTAACCGGTTATCAGATATATACTTTGGAAAATTTTCTCTCATTCTATAGGTCATCTTTTCAATTTATTTTTATTTCCTGTGTTGTGAAAAAGCCCTTTAGTTTAATGTCGTCTCACTTGTTTATTTTAGTTTTGGATGTCTGTATTTTGGTGGTTTATTCAAGAAAGCATTCCAAGATTAAGGAGTTTGTTTGTTTTTTTTGCTGTTCACTTATAGGAGTTTTATGGTTTCATTCATTAAGCAATAAATATTCTTAATAACCAGGCCAAGTTTCAATGTCCTTAGCAGGTGGATCTTTAGATCTGAATCTAAGAATAGTTCATACTTCTCTGGGTCTCATGAGATATGGGCAGGGCTCTCCTTTCAAAATCCAGGACAAGAACGACACAGAAAAGTGTGCTGATGGACAGGATTTGCTTACAACATATTTTAGAGGTTGAACCAAATACAGATCAACTCGCAGTATGCATTACTCTTTTTTTATGGTTAGGTAACCATACAGAATCTATATGAAGGTATTTTAAGAGACAAACTTACAAAGGAAGAGTTTACAATTTATATAATCCAAATGAAATATCATACTTTGTAACTTTCTTATATTGCTTGGCCAAAACAAACAGGAATAAGACTTACCAAAATAACATAACATTTGCAATAATTCATCAAAATGCTTGTTCCAAAAATAATATAGCATATTAATGCACAGGAAATACCTTAAATAGTTATTTAATATGTAAATAAATATGTGTTTATTGCAGTATATCAGTATACAGGAAATAGCTTAAATAGCTCTCATCTCCTTTTTAAAAGTCCTTTACAGATAGTCTTTACCTATATTATTAAACAGAACCTGCTTTTCATACCTTCAAATGTAACCATATAAGCAATTGTTTATTTGTAGACTCTGGGCAACGTTTTCTTTCTTTTGAGAAAGTCTAGGTGTCAATTATGGGCAAAATATTTATGAAACATCATCCTTATCAGCTAATAAATGGAGACTTTAAAAAACAGACATATAACCTCAATGATCTTATTTACCAAGATGTTTTTCCACACAAATGACAGCTACCTCTTTGGCCAATTGTATGATTCTTGTATAATATTATATAATGCCCCTTGAGTCATGATATAGACATGTGTTTAAATAATGTGTAGTGCAGGTTTAAGATGGTAAAGAAATAACAATTTGCTCTTTGTAATGATAGTATTCACTGTTCATTTGTTACAGTTGTTTTTGATAATCTAGACTGGTTCCCTTCATCCAGCTTATTAATGTTTATACAGATTCCCTTGCACATGGTGGCTTAAAAAGATATTTCCTGAGTGGTTGTTGTACATTACAAAAGACAGCACTGCTAATGAGAGAATTGAAAAATTTCTAGTTAGCATATTTGTGCCTTATTTCATGGGACATATAATCATTATTTTTTCAAAACATCTAGGTGTTCTCCAATTGAAAGAAGATACTATTGAAAATTTGCTGGGTGCAGCTTGTTTTCTGCAGCTGACTGAAGTCATTGAAGTCTGCTCCAATTTTCTTATAAAGCAGCTCCATCCTTCAAACTGCTTAGGGATTCTGTCATTTGGAGATGCCCAGGGCTGCACAGAGCTCCTGAGATTGGCACATAAGTACACAATGGTAAAACTAACTGCTTCAAATTAACTTATATTAACACAATACCTAACTTATTGATTTGTTTACTGGTATACATATATGTGTGTATATATGTTTATATATTTGTGTGTGTGTGTACTTGCACATCTATGAATATATATGTGTATATATATAAAAGCTTTCCAAAGTAAAGATTATAATGTTGGGATAAAATAAAAAGCAGCATGAACATATAATTTGAAAATGACTTGCACCTAATGGATAGCATATAAAAGTATTTGTATGGCTGAGCTGTACTCAAACAAGTTTCTCATTTTTGAAATTAAAAAGTTTTAGTTAAATGTCAAAGCGTGGAGAAATGGAAATTCTGCCAAAAATTCTACCAAACAAGTACATATTTCAAGTAGAATCCACAGTATTAGGAAAATAAAGTTTCCCTGATATTTTTACACTATTAGGACTTTAGTGTATAAAATCACCCAAATTATGATTTCTAATGAAAGTTAAATGTTCAATAAGGAAAAACAAATATTAATGGGCCAATATTAACTGGAAGACCTTGAGAACTTATCAACATTAGTAAACCAACCAATTCTATTGAATGGACTTCTTATGTCCTAGTGAAAACATGTATTTTGGTTAAAAACAATTTTCAGTTCAAACGTCGAACTAACTTAAGATCTCTTTCAATTCTATTACTAGAATTGTAGTAAATGAACATGTTTGTATATGTTAATTCTTTGAAAGTTGTATGGAACAAGGCTACATTTATTCAGTCAGATGGAAGTGACATAAAATACAGATTTTTGTAGGGAGGCAAGAAAAAGTAGAAAGAAGATATTAAATTACCAGTAATGTTAACTCCCTGATTCAAAGAAGAAAATGAATGTTTTAACTTCTGAAGGAGGAAACAACACAAGACATGCATCTTTCTGTGAAATCCAGTCAAAAGATAAATATTTCAAGCTAAGAAAATTGCTAGTTATTTAAAATTCAAAAATAAAATGCAAGTATATAAAAGAAAACAATAGAAAATTACACATAAACAGAAATAAATAAAATTAACATTACAGGTTTAGGTTTGAGGTACATTTAAATAAAGAGTATTTTCTAGAGTTTTTATGAGACATTAAAATGTTTAAATTTCTAGTACTTGAGGTCTCAAAAAATTTCTTCTAAACTTTCTTCTTTCTTCTTCCCAGCCCTGGTTATTGTTCAGAATTTGAAGTTTCAAACATATTCCTGAAATGTGGAGAGCCATATTAGAGTGGATTGGAATTTTAAACATGTCTTTTAATTATGTTATGTATATTCCTATATCCTAAATACAGATGCCATATAAACTATAGGAACACCAATTATATAATTCAAAGGTTAATCCTACACAAAAACTGAACATGAAAACGTCTCTGTTAAATTACCTAAATTCTATAACTAAGTATTAACAGTTTTGTGTCTGGTATTTTACTCTTGCGGACAAAATATATTCTGATAAACAGCCTGAATTATTTTTGTTGCTCAAAATGAACTTGTCTTCCTTTTCGTATTATGTGACTGAAACTGAGTGTTAGTGCAGGATGTGCATCAAAACACAGTACTGTGAGGGGCAGAGCCAGGATGGCAGCGTGAGTAGAGCAGAGGAACTCTCCTCCCAAAACCACATAGAATTATGAAAATATAACAAAGACAACTTCCTAAAATAGAGACCAGAGGACACAGGACAACATCCACACCACATCCACACCCGTGAGAACCCAGTGCCTCATGAAGGGGTAAGATACAAACCCCGGCCTGGCAGGACCTGACCGCCCCTACCCCCAGATCCCGGCGGGTGGAAAGAAACCGGAGCCGTTTTTTACTTTTTTTTTGGCGAGTGCTTTTTGGATGCCTTAAAGGGACCCCAATACTAGGGAAACAGGGCAGCAAGACCGGTGAGCGGGTGCCTGAAAGCAGTGCATGAGGACAAAAAATATAGCGCATTTTTCCCTTTTTTTTTTGGTGAGTGTTTTTTGGAAGCCTTGGGGGGACAGGGAACCGAATACTAGGGAAACAGGCCAGCAAGACTAGTGAGCAGGTGCCCGAGAACGGCACCTGAGGACAAACAATATCGCCCATTTCTCCCTTTTTTTTTTTGGCGAGTGTTTTTGGAAGCCTTAAAGGGACAGGAACCCCAATACTAAGGAAACAAGGCAGCAAGACCGGCACCTGAGGACAAAGAAAACCGCGTGTTTTTTCCTTTTTTTTCCCCTCTTTCCTTGTTGCTGTTGTTGTTTTGGTTTGGAGAGTGCTTTTGGGGAGTGTTAAAGGGGCAGGACAGGACACTTAGCCCAGAGGCAGGGAATCTGGGGATCTCTGGGCACTCAAACCCCCTGGGCAACAGGGAGCACAGAGGCCCCTTACAGAGATAAATAGCCTCCCAGCTGCTCCCCCTCCAACGGGGTTCCACCATTTTGGAGAAGCAGCCACAGACAGGACACACCAACACAACAGCTGAGATAAACTCCAAACCAACCGGGCAGGTAGCTGAAGCCCTGTCTGTGCAGAGCTCCCAAGCATAAGCCACTAGAGGTCGCTATTCTCCCAGAAGAGGAAGGCCACAAACCAACAAGAAGGAAAGGTCTTCCAGCTGTCACTCATACCAGCTCTTCAAACTATCTCTATCACCATGAAAAGGCAAAACTACAGGCAGACAAAGATCACACAGACAACACCTGAGAAGGAGACAGACCTAACCAGTCCTCCAAAAAAAGAATACATAATAAAAATCATGAACATGCTGACAGAGATGCAGAGACAAATGCAAGAGAAATGGGATGAGATGCAGAGAAAAATGCAAGAGCAATGGGATGAAGTCCGGAGTGAGATCACAGATGTCAGGAAGGAGATCACAGAAGTGAAACAAACCCTGGAAGGATTTATAAGAAGAATGGATAAGATGCAAGAGGCCATTGAAGGACTACAACCAGAGAACAGGAACGTATAAAAGCTGACATAGAGAGAGATAAAAGGATCTCCAGGAACAAAACAACACTAAGAGAACTATGTGACCAATCCAAATGGAATAATATTTGTATTATAGGGGTACCAGAAGAAGAAGAAAGAGGAAAAGGAATAGAAGTCTTTTTGAAGAAACAATTGTTGAAAACTTCCCCAAGCTGGGGGAGGAAATAATCGAACAGACCACGGAAATATACAGAACCCCCAACAGAAAAGATCCAAGGAGGATAACAACAAGACACATAATAATTAAAGTGGCAAGGATCAAGGACAAGGAAAGAGTTTTAAAGGCAGCTAGAGAGAAAAAGGTCACCTATAAAGGAAAACCCATCAGGCTAATATCAGACTTCTCAACAGAAACCCTACAGGCCAGAAGAGAATGGCATGATATACTTAATGCAATGAAACAGAAGGGGCTTGAACCAAAGATACTGTATCCAGCACGACTATAATTTAAATATGATGACGGGATTAAACAATTCCCAGACATGCAAAAGCTGAGGGAATTTGCTTCCCATAAACCACCTCTACAGGGCACCTTACAGGGACTGCTCTAGATGGGAGCACTCCTAAAAAGAGCACAGAACAAAACACACAACATATGAAGAATGGAGGAGGAGGAATAAGAAGGGAGAGAAGAAAAGAATCTCCAGACAGTGTATATAACAGCTCAATATGTGAGCTAAGTTAGGCAGTAAGATACTAAAGAAGCTAACCTTGAACCTTTGGTAACCACGAATCTAAAGCCTGCAATGGCAATAAGTACATATCTTTCAATAGTCACCCTAAATGTAAATGGACTTAATGCACCAATCAAAAGACATAGAGTAATAGAATGGATAAAAAAGCAAGACCCATCTATATGCTGCTTACAAGAAACTCACCTTAAACCCAAAGATAAGCATAGACTAAAAGTCAAGGGATGGAAAAACATATTTCAGGCAAACAACAGTGAGAAGAAAGCAGGGGTTGCAGTACTAATATCAGACAAAATAGACTTCAAAACAAAGAAAGTAACAAGAGATAAAGAAGG